GGGGGGGGGGGGGGGGGGGGGGGGGGCGCTCCTCTTGCCCTCCTCTGAGCATTTTCCTCCTTCCAGGCACTGGCTACCATTTCCCCTCGCGGTTGCTCATGTGCGCCTCACACTGTGACCTGTATTGACTCCTCCTGCCGCCTTTGGCTGTACTTGAGCTGATGTTTGCTATGTGCCACGAACTGAACTCAACTCTTTACACATATCGTCAAAAATTACAGCTATCACTACCCCCTTTAAGGAAGGGGAGTGGCAAAATTGAGCCTTAAAGAGGCTACATAATTCACCAGAGGTCATGTGGCCCAGAGAGCAAAGGGCTACTTGAACCCATTAACCACTCTGTTTGATCATCCTTGCAAGAGTGGAGAGTTTCCTTCCTCCCTGGGGTGTGACTCTCAAAGCTGGGGTGGCCTTTATTTCCACTTCCTACCCGACTTCTTAATCTCTTGTCCTAGAGGTCTGGCCATCAGGATTAAACATGCCACAAGAACTTGCAGAGGAACAAGATACCATCAGGCAAGGGCAACTTTTGGGCTAAGTGTGCAGACCCAACCTTGAGTCTCATTACGTATGGAAATGCTCATAAGATTGTGAGCCTCTCTAGGGCAAGGGCCCTCTCTTGTTCATTTCTTTGTGAGTGGCACAGAGTAGGTGTTCGGGAAGGTGTATCAATGGCTGAAGCATTGGCAAAATGACCGAGGGAGGTGAGGGGAAGCATATATCAATCTAGTGCTGGCTTCTAATACTCTGCTTTGAATTGGAGCAATATTAATACTAATTTAAAGGATGAGTGGTGCTTTACAGTTCCTGCGATGCATCAACATAACCATGTTCACCCCAAGAGATGAATTTTATCAGCCTTTGAAGGAAGACAAAACTGAGCCTTGGGAGGTCAAATAACTTGCAAAGCTGCAGCTTGATTTGAGAGCACTGGTGCTGGAGTCAGACAGACAGGTTTGAGCCTCAAGGTAACTAGTTATCACATGGCTGTGTGGCATCGAAGGAGGTACATATGCTCTAGAAACCCTACTTTCCTCATAAGTGAAACAGAGATGGTGACAGCACCATTTACATAGGGTCTTCTTGAAGATTAGATGAAACCATGCATCAAAGTCCCAGACACATAGCAAGTGTCAGATCCACTGGTTTTTGCTAGTGGCTCTAGAGCTGGTGAATGCTGGTCGCCTGACTTCAGTTGAATGTCCTTTGCCTCAGATTTGAAGTCTCTAGTCAGAACTCTTCGAGGAGCAAATGCAGGGCTGAATATTACAGAAGGACTGTGACAGCATTTTCCTACAGTGTTGGCATTTACCCTGATAACAACCAAAAGTAGAACTTTCAGGGCTGAGCAAGGAGAAAAATTGTAGGTGCTTTTGACAAACTCAGGCCATGATTTTGGGCCTAAAAAACGATGGTCTCTGCTGCGTATAACTGCAGTGGCCAGCAGAGTGACCCTGGCTCATTGTCACCAACTGATTTCAATAGCTACCTGAGGGATCTCAGCTTGAGAATAGATTATTACTCATTTATTTGAAATACACTTATTGGGGACCTCCTGGGCGTGGACCACCGTGCTGGGAGTGGGGATATAATGGCGAGCAGAGGAGGCAGGCTCCGTAACTGCATGAAGTGTACAACAGGCTGGTGGGAACATTGGAAGGGCTTCCCTTAGGCCTGGAGCTGCACCTCTGGGGTGGCATGGATTGCTCGGTCAGAGGGTGATCAGGGTCTGTTATGATCCATTGTCTCTTAGTGAGTTTTTTTAAGGCTTGTCTCTTCCTAGGCAAGAGTTGGTCATAAAACTAAAGCCAGAGAGGAGTCCTTCTTTGGGTGGAATTTCAGGAGCCATGGAAACGTACCCTGATGGCCGATTCTCTGGCTGGAAGGAGAACCCCATGACTTATCCTGATTTAACTGGGCTGTCTCTCTCTCCTTTTAAATGCTATCCCAAAGCTATGCATATTCTTGGCTGAATGGGACAGGGAAGGAAGCCCCTTTGATTTCCCATGATGAGACTTATCTCCCTTCACTGTGGACACACAGAGAGATGGTGCCTCCCTAGAGAGACAGTAATTATCCAGAATTAACAACTGGAAACATAAAACAACATTTATGAGAGGCTAAACAACAGTGATGATCTTAGCCTCATAGCTACTGATATGGAGACAACCAGAGCTAACCGATGGTTTGTAGTCCTTCTTCCTAAGCCATGTGTTTATTTCCAAAGAAAATGTATTCTCACATCCAAATCATATTTCCCGAGTGCCCCAAACCCAGCACTGGGGCTGGAAGAAAGGACCTGCATGTAATTTGTGTCATGCCTTCTCATTTATGAGACAGGCAAATGTCGTGTTTAGGACCTGTATCATACAGTCAGCTTGCAGACCAAATGAGATCATGTATGTAAAACACTTCGCACAACGTCTGGCACATGATAAAGACTTGACATTTACTAACCATTTGTAGCGGACGTCTAGTTTGGGTCTGCCTGGTACCTACATCTCCTTTGGGGAACAGTCCCCCTCCCATTCCACATGCCCTTGGTGGGCACGGAGACTGGCCTGATCATAGTACCCTGTCTCTCACCTGCAGCAGGAAGGGTGAGCCCACATGCGAAGCCGAGCAGAAATGAGAGGCAGGGGGACAGAGAGAGGGTCCTGGCATACTTGGGACCAGCGTCGATCTCTCAACCCAGGTTCCTAGAGCTCCTTCTTCAGTTCCACGAGCTGTCCCGGGCCACCCTGCAAAGGTGAGCACAAATTCCCTTTTTGCTTAAGCCTTCTGGGCGGAGCTTCCGTAACTTATGCCTGGAATCATGAGGATGAGAGGACATGAAGCTGGCGGCTCACATGACAGGGGATGGCGTGGGGTAATACCCTTTCAGGTGCCCACAGCTGAGAAGTGAGAATATTCTCAGTGCATTCCCTGCGTCTTAGTCACCGACATTTAAACAGGCTGCAGAACATTTCCTTTTATCCACCTCTCACGTGTCCGGGATGAGTTACCATCACATGGCTTACCACCGAAAGTCACACTTCCCTTCCAAGTCTCAAAGACAACACATTGAGAACTTGGAACTGTGTTTTAGTGGCAGGAATATTTCACTCGTGTAGTCGAGGGAGGACGTCCAGCTGTCTGTGTAGGTCAGCCACGACCCTGGCCAGTGGCCGGAAGGAAGGCAGAGGGGGCCTAATGAGCACTGGAAGATAGACACCGATGCCAGGGCAAATCCCCCCGGGGCACAGGGCAGCACCGGATGCTGTAAGTTTTCGATTAAGGTCTCCGTGAATGGAATGGAATGTGGTCAGGCAAATAGTGCATCTTCAGCTCACAGCGGTGGTCATAAGACTGCACTGGATGAGGTCCTGGGTGAGGTGCGTGAAAAGGTAGCAGCCCAGCTCCTGCCTTTGAGGAGCCCCAAACCAAGAGGGGGGGGGGTAAGTGCTGAGCTGGGGGAGCACAGAGTAGAAGAAACGGTCCCGTGTCCACCCGGGTGAGGTTTCCACTGGCCTTGCAGGGGTGGATTCCAAAACATGGGAGAGTGCAGTGGATGATCGGCAGCTATGAGTCCAGGGAAGCAGGAGCCTTAGACCCACAAGGTCTGAGAGATAGAGGTGAGCACACGCAGGGAGCCACAGCCAGCAGGGGGGTGGGGGGGTGGGGGACGGTGCATGAGGGCAGGGGCTTGAGTGCAGTTGTGCTGGCATGTTGAGGTTTTTGGCAAGGTAGCATTAGAGCCAGCCCTTGCCTCTGTAGGGTACAGAGTGCCCTTTGTGGAAACGGGCAAAGCCTGGTCTCCAACCAGCAGTGATCGGCATCACCTGGGACCTTGTTAGAAAGGCAAGCTCTGCACTGCACCCCAGACCTAGTGTTACTTCAGGAACTCTGGCAGTGACTGACCCAGCTGACTGTGTGTTCACAAGTCCTCCAGGTGATCACTAGCGGTGGGCAGGCAGCGTGCAGAAAGCTTCTGAAAGCAGGCATGGCATCTGATTGCAGGATCCTATGTACCAGATTTTAGAATTAGAGCATTTTCCCATACCATTGAGAAGCTACTGAAAGTTTTTGAACAAGAGCCATTCATTCCTCCCTCCCGTCCGTCCTTCCTTCCTTCCTTCCTTCCTTCCTTCCTTCCTTCCTTCCTTCCTTCCTTCCATCTATTGTTATTGAGCACCTACCAGGTCCCAGCCCCTCTCAGACACCAGGATCCAACAGTAAACACACCCAAGTTAGTTCAGAACAGCGTTTTAAGCACATGCTTATCTGGAAACAAGATTGCTATTGTTTGTCTTTTTTTTCCTTTTAACCTGATTTACTAATGGAAGGCACACTTATTATGCTCTCCAGAAACAACTCTGCGACTTGTCTCTGCCATCAGAAGCTGTTCAGCTAGGCATTTCCTGAAGTTTCCAACGTGAGCGATGCGACCACGGGAGAGCAGTCACACACAAAATGGAAAGGGCGGGCTCAGGGGGAGAAGGCATTTTCCTCCAGGTCTGTGCTGCCGGCCTGAGAGCGGCTGTTTGCTGAGATCTTAGACCTCGCAGCCTTTGACTTTCCCCGGGTGAGGGTCAGTTAGCCCCGGCGTTTCTGCGCGCACCTCACAGTTTGGAGAGGCTGCAGGCCAGGAGGGTGGGGTGGAGGGGAGGAGAGGGAAGAGGTGGGTTGTGGCAGCTTCTCTCCTGGTCTCCCACACCAGCTCTACTGCCGCTCAAGGAAATCAGAGCATGATTTCAAAGACAAACAGATCTTTTCATCTGAATTAAGTGAAACGGGCCGAAGTGCTCTTGTGGAAGGCCAGATGTCCTCAGGACAACTTTCAGCCCTCTTTCTGGTTTGCCCAGGGGACCACACTGGGGATGGGAATGGGGAGGCTGGGCCACCTCCTGGGTTCCCGGTCTCTGACCACCTGGCTTCTGGGGAATTCCTTCCAGCAGGCTGCGGTTAGTGGGCCTGGCCCTCTGCTGGGCCTGGTCAGGAGAAAAGAGTTCAGGCTGGTGATGGTCGCATCAGGCGGCAGAGGACAGAATTCGGAGTCCCAGGTTTGTTCTAGTTTGAGTCTGGCTCCCTGACCTTTAAGAATACAGAGATGGGTTCCTGGTGTCCCCTAACCCCTCTGTCTCCCCCTGTCTGCGCCTTGTCAGGATCCCAAAGAGATTCCACTTCCTCTCCTACCCCCACAGAACAATCGTTTACCTGTTCCTCTGAAAGATCCTCAGCTTGCACCTGATCGGAGGATGCAGAGGAAAGGAACACAAGAGAGAAACGGGGAAATCTCTCCCTGTGCAGCACTGCCCTGCCCCCAGCCCCGTGTCCAGTGTCCTTGTCCTATGTGAGACAACAGCTGAGCCTGACTGATGCAACCCTCTTCTCATTCGCTCCCCGCGGAGTGCGTGTAGGAGACCAGCATTTCAGAGAGCAAGCGCCGCTTTACCGTATCTGTAGGCAGCACACCGTCATCCTACCATGGATCTTATTTTAAACTAATTACATTATGGAGGGGTGGGTGGGAGGGAGGCGAGGGGGTAATGATAATTGGGGAATTTTTTTTAAAGACCTAGTTTCAAAAACCTCAGACTTAATTTAGCAAATTTCAATTACAAGGGGAGTTACTAAGCCGAGGATCATTTGCATTATATCCTTAATTACCACTTCGTTTGTACCCGAGATGATCAATAGAGATTCTCAGGAATGTGTACTCAGAATAAGTGATTGATCCTAATGAGGCCTTTGTTCTTCCTGAGCCTCTCTTCCAAGCTATTTCCTCCCTGGTGGAGAGGCACAGAGTTTGCCAAAGCGGGTGGAGACATCTTAAATTAGAAATGGAGCCTGTGAAGAAATCAAGAGGTTTTCAAACTGGCTTTGCCACCAGGGAGAGAATGCCAAACTCAACTCCATCTCCCTAACAGCTCCTTATCACAGTTGTATTCCTCTCGCCTTGAATGCACCGGCTCCGCTGGCTTGCTGGGGATGATTCCCCCATGCACCGGCCACAAACGTCCATCTTTTTTAGCGGGCAGCAGAGGAAATAGCCTTCCGAGGCCTTCCTCTTGCAAATAATGGATGCTGCCATAGATCTATCTTCCTGGTTCTGCTTTTCCTGTCTCCCCTGAAGAAAGACCCAGGGACCCCTGGGTCTTTATTGGAAAAGCTTTTTCCCAAGGTCATTTAGTTCTAAAACAGTGATGAGCCCATAAGGACCATGGGAGTGTGTGTGTGTCTGTGTGTGAGTTAATATCCATTTTGAAGAAGGAAACAGACTTTTTTTTTTTTAAGTGGGGAAGGTAGGAAAAGGGAAAAGTGAATAATAAAATCCACTACATAAATCCTGCATATTCCTGCTTTGCCTTCCTCCTGTGGTACCTTCTTCCCTGCAGGGTTTTACAAAGCATGTGTTCATCTACTGCCTAGCATGTAAGAAAAGGATGGCCTCATTCTGCAAATGAGGAGACTGAAGCTCAGAGAGATTAAGTGACTTGCCCCAAGTCACTCAGCTGGGATTTAAGTTCAGGTCTCTTAATCCTGTACGCCTTCCATTACCTACCTCCCATGGGCTGCCAGTAGCCTTGAACATTTTCTCTGTTCGTGGAGGTTGGGGTCTGCATTCCACTGCAGCGTGTTACCCCATTTAAACTTCATTTCTAAATCTGTATATTTAAGCAACAATTTTGTTTCAGAGGAATCCAGAGGGTGGCCTGACTTAACCTTGCTCTGGAGGAGTGTCTACTTGGTGGAGAATGGTGGAGGGGGTCAAGAGGGAAGGGAAGGGAGTAGGCGGCAGGGAATTTTCCCGGTTTTCCACTGGATGAGGCCAAAGCCCAGGGAGTTAGAGACAAATCCAGGATTCTCCTGGCATTCTGAACATTTGCCAAATCCCTGCTCTTTGCTCTCATTATTCTTCTGGGGTGGTTTCCAAGTGTGAGGGAGTATTGGCTGTGGACGTGTTTGTGTTGGGGTGGGGAGAGCAGGACAGATGCTCGGAGGAAGGAGGGTATTTATACCGACAGGCCAGCCAAGGCTCGGGGTCACAGGGACTGGTCCTGAGTAAGAAGTGTCCTCTGAGATAGAGCCGCGTTCGCCTTCTCCAGGACCTCCTGGATAATGTAGCTTCCTCTGCAATAGCTGGCCACCCCCACATGGAATACTCTAAATAAGTCACTTAACTTCCCCACGAATCAGTTTTCTCGTGTATAAAACGAGAATACCAATAATATCCACTCTCTGGCCTGCTCTGAATTTTTAAAAAATGTTTATCTATTTTTTAGGGAGAGAGAGAGAGAGAGAGAGCACGCACAAGCGGGGTAGGGGCAGAGAGAGGGAGAGAGAATCTCAAGCAGGCTCCACGCTGTCAGCACAGAGCCTGACGTGGGGCTCAAACCCACGAACTGTGAGATCATGACCTGAGCTAAGATCAAGAGTCCGCGACACTCAACCGACTGAACCACCCGGGTGCCCCTGGGCTGCTCTGAATTTTAAATGAACTATGTAAAGCAACTAGCAAATGGTGACTTTGACTGGCAGAGGGTTCGAGGCAGTTAGGACACAGGACAATAAGAAAAGTGGGCTGCTTGGTCCATAAAGGCAATAGCGAGGAGCAGGAGCGGGTTCAGTGATGAAACAGCTTGCAAGGGCTTTCGTAAATAGTCCATATGCTAACTCTGGGCAAGTGCTAAGAAACTAGTTTGAAAAGCATAAAAGTCATAAAATAGCACCAGTGTTTTTTGTGGGTTTTTCTTCTTAGTGTGAGCAAAAATATTCAAGCAGACAAACCCAAGCCAATCTTTTGGGACTAAGACTCTAAATATTACTTGTGAGTCACCCCAGCTTCCTTCCAACAGAAAGACTCCCCCATGCCCTCACTCAACACCCCCATCTGTGACGCATTAGGATTGTAGCTTTTCAGCTTCTCCTACCAAAACCCTAGTCCTCGTCGTGGGCAGGAGGACAGCCCTGTGCACAGGGAACGTGTTTCCTCATTTCAGTCCCTCTCCTGCTTAGAGAAGTTTCCCCAAAACACCTCATCAAAAGAGCAGGATTCACACCAAGCCCTGAAGCAGACACTAGAGGGCGCTAGACCCCACGTTATCCAGGCAAGTCTAACACTGCACCCAGTTCTGGACAGTGTTTCTGCAGTGAGGCCCTCTCCTTCCCAGAGACCTGGGGGGCTATGTCAGTTTATACTACGAGCATAAAGCGCCACCAGGAGATGGCCCCCGGCTTTGCTGCTAACTGGGACTCTCTCTCGGTGTGACTGCACAGGGCAGTTCCCAGACCTTAGGCTGGAGACCTAGCAGTCTTCGGCTAAGCTATAAATAACATTAGGAATAAGTAATCCCTTTTCAACTTCCTCTCAGCCCAGAGAAGGAGGAAAGAAAAGACTTTTCTCCCTTTGGAGGAGGGAGTGGAGGAGAGGCAGATCCCTGAGGCTCCTTTGTGAGAGCTGCCCCCCCTCCTTTCCTCAGAGGCAGAGCCAAGGGCTTTCACCTGACACCAGGCCCCACTCCCTGAGGGTGAGAACAACCTCAGTGGCCTGGAGGAGCTGGGCTGTGGGTTTATTTTCTGTCCAGAGATCTGGGATGAGGTTGCCATTAAATACCTGTTTAATTCCGTTGTACTGAGAGTACACTGCCATTTATAACAAGAGCATATTGGGATTCTTATTGCTACAATCCCAAAGCTCTTATGAACAATAACAGTAAGTGGCAGTTATGAAGTGATTTCCAGTTTTCTAAGCATTATGAGCTCTCTTTATACCTGAAGAGGCAGGTGAGTTGCATTTTGTGTTTGCAGATAAAGCAACTGACACTCCAGGGCCTCATTGGCACTGATGTTGTCTCTTTGAAATGACGACGATCATTGTTGTTTATTATCATTTTCACTGTTATGTTTCCTTTGATGGCCAAACAGAACACTTGCTTAAATACGGCTTTTGGCTAATGAGTTCCCATTTGGCTGATAGTATCTGGACAGAGAAGGGCCGAATGTGGAGAACCACTGAAGAGAGATGAGTGCCTGGGCAGACCCTTGCCTTCTTGGCCCTGGGGGCGTTTCCTGCACTGGGAGCCTGGGCTCTGCAGAGTCAGAGGGCAGGTGCATTGGCAGCACTGCGGAGATGACTGGTGAGTCCCCATCAATCAGCCAATCAGCACGTTCATGGGCACCTACCACCTAGAAAAGAAATGGTGTGCCTCCGTGAGGTCACAAAGACCTTTAGTCTTTGCCTCAAAGAGTTTATGGTGCAATGACATTGGGGCAAGGACAATATATATAAATAGAAAGTAAAGTACTGACAGAGAAGTCCTAGCAAGAAACCAGAAACCCAGTATCAGAGCTTGGTTATACAGAACTTCCCTTTAGAGCAATGAGGAGGGAGGGCTGGGGGGCGCTGGGAGGGGGCAGGAGGAGAGGACCTGCTGGCTTCGGCTGGACCTTAGCATCTGCATAAGCAGGGGCTTGCCCGTAGGTCAGGTCCAGGGTAGAGAGGTCTTGCTGGGGTCAAAGCGGCATTCAAAGCCTAGGGCATCTCGGTGATAGTTTATGCCTACCGGAAGTTTGTGTTGTGACTCAGGGAGTCAGAGGGAAGTCACCCGGGGACAGGTGAACCTTGCACCCTCCAGTCTTCCTCCCCCACAAGTTTCTGTTTTCCAGGCCCTCAGGGGTGAGGGGCTGAGTACTGGACCCACCAGCCCCACTTCCACTGAGCCACTGAGTCCTGACATCCTGGCTCCTGACTTACATCCTTTCTCCCAACCCCCAACCACTGCCACAGTTCAGACCCTCCTCACACCTGCCCTGAAGGGCTTTTCTTTTAAAAATAAATGGTAGTATTTTTATAGGAAATAATGGAAGTGAAAACACACACAAAAATCCAACAATAGGATGTACAGTAAGAAGTAAGTCTCCCTTCCACTCTTGCCTCCAGCCCCCTAGATCCTGTCCCAGAGGCAGCCCCTGAGCCCCACTTTCTAGCCCTCTCTCTCTCTCTCTACCCACCCAAGCTTCTTTTGCCCACTCTTCTCTGGTTTCCAGAATAGCATTTTTAGGAGCACAAACATCCTGTTACTCCTCATTCTCCTCCAGATTTGCAAAAACGCAAACTCCATCAGGCCGTGCAGACAGCCCCAGACTCAACTGCCCTCAAAATACCACACTCTCAAACTCTATTCCCACCAGGCCCGACCGCTTGCGGTGGTGTATTTTAGCACAGCGTAGTTGTAAAAATAGTTTTTAATTTACTTTTTTGAGTAGACAACATGTTCACACACACACACACACACACACACACTCCCCCAAAGGTAAGCACTATTGAATCATTTCTTGTATTTCCAATCAGATAGTTTTTATACATGTTCAAAAATACAACTATATCCTCTTCTTTTCTACCCAAAGAATAACAGGCAATTCACACTTTCTACATCTGCTTTTTCAAAATTCAATAATCATGTCCCAGGAAACTTTCCATGGGAATACGTGACCAGCTTCTCCTCAGATGTATCTCTGCAGGATTCCCTTGCACGGATACTCTGTGGATACTACGCAGTTCTCTCTTGTGGAGCAGAAGAACACTGATATCAGAATTTTATGCGATGTTCAAGTGTCACAAAAAATAATTCTGCTTTTGGCTTTTTGCACCTTTTAAAAATAAAACTGTTCTTGGGTGCAGGCCTTGCAGAAGCAGGCAGAGGGCCATTTGGACCCATTTGTTGACCCTTGATTTATTTAACTGGTTCTCTATTATGAATATTCATATCATTTCTAATCTTTTGCTGCGATTTATAATTGTCTGCATGTGACTTTATATGCATGCAAATATATCTGCCTGTAGGGAAAGCTCTGAAAAGTGGGATTTCTTTGTCAGAAGGAAATCTTACTTCTTTTGATAAAAAGTGCTAAACTGGCCTTCGAGGGGCTGCGCTAGTTCACACGCCCGCCAGCAATGTATGGCGATGTTATCCTCGCAGCCAACCGTGTATTTTCACACGTAGGTTTTTGCCAGTCTAATAGGCTTAATAAAAACAAAAAGAGCATCTCAGCACTGCTGGTGTGCATTTTTCTTTTCTTTTCTTTTTCCTTTTTTTTTTTTTTTTTTGAGAGAGAGAGAGAGAGCATGAGTGGGGGAGAGGGGCAGAGGGAGAGAAGGGGAGAATCCCAAGCAAGCTCCATGCTTAGCATGGAGTCCGACACAGGGCTTGATCCCACGACTTTGGGATCATGACCTGAGCTGAAATCAAGAGTCGGATGCTCCAACAATTGAGCCACCAGGCACCCCAAGCTGCACTGACCGCTCCCTGACAGAGGTTTCCTATCTTTTCATATGTTAACAGCCATTTGTATTTCTTTTTTTCCTGTGAGTTAATTTTTCATATCCTTTGCTCACATTTTCATTGGTCTTTTCTTTAGAGATTTGTTTATATATCTTTGTAATTAAAGGGGATCGGCCCTTTGCTGCACTGCATGCATTCTTTCCAGGTTTTCATTTGGTTTTTACTTTGCTTATTTGTTTCCCTTGTTTGTTTGGTATGCACATGCTGTAAACATTTTTTTTTTTTTACTTTTATTCAGTATCAGTTTGTTATTTTATAGCCTGTGGTTTTTGAGTCAAAATTGGGAAGGGTTTTTTCACTCTAAGGTGGTAAAAGAATTCTCCCACATTTTTTCTTGGTACCTCTATGGTTTTTGGTTTGTGTACACGTAAACGGTTAGCGCATTTGGAGTTTATTCCAGTAGATGGGGTGAGGTACGGCTCCAACTTAATTTTTTTTCAGGCTGGCTGTCCAGGAATCTCAGCACCATTTATCATATAGTCAAATGGCATATAAGCCATAGCATATGGGATGTTGCCTTTAGCATATACGATATATATGTACATTCTTCCTGCTGTTCCATGGATCTCTCTACCTAATCATGCACTCGTACTGTGAAGTGCTATAATCTGTTTTTATATTTGTTGACCCAGTCCTGAGTTTCTCAACCTCGGCACTATTGACATCTGCCAGATATCATTCTTTGTAAGGGCTGTCTTGCTTTGTAAGATAGTTAGCAGCCTCCCTGACCTCTACCCATCAGATACCAATAGCAGATGCACCCCCACACACAGTTACAATAAACAAAAAAGTAAAAGAAAAAGAAAGCTTTCCAGATGTTGCCACACGTCCCCTGGGGGACAAAATCATCCTGTTGACAACCACTGGTCTAGCCATTCATGATTGTTGTTTTTCTTTCATGACTTCTTATTTATTTCATCACTGTGTGTTTGCACATGCTGTTCCCTCTACATGAAATGTCCTCCGCTTACTCACTTCCCCATCAGAGTTCAGCTCAGACACTGCCTCCAGGAAGCTTTTTGGATGACCCTGCTTCATCCTGTACCCCTCAAACCCAGGTGCCGACCCCCATCATTCTCTATGAAAATGAGTCATTTGCTTGCCTCGCACCCGGACCAGGGCGTCAGCTCCGAGAAGATAGGGTTCTTGTTCATGTCTTTTTCTCCAGCTTCTGGTACTGAGCCCAGCACAGGATGGGTGTTCTATCAGTATCATTGGATGAAGAGACAAGTGAATATTTCTTTTACCCACCAGGAGCCACGAGTTCGGTTGAAGAAGACACGTGTCACGGATGGGATCTCAGCTGTTGCCCAGAGTGAAGCCCTGGTGTTGACAAGCAGCAGGGGCTGGCGAGAGTCTCGTACACGTTCCGGGCCTGCCATGTGCCGAGCACGGCAGCAGATCAGATGTACGCGATCTCCCGTTTAAACACCCGTCAGTGCCCGGCCCCAGGATGCGCCCAGCTGCTTTGAAATGGGAAAAGGAGAGCTGGAGAAACGCAAAGAGCCTCAAGAGCTTCTGGGAAACCTGGATAAATAGTGTTGACAGCATGAGCTCAGTTGTCAGACTCCTACTCTATTCATTTAGGAGGCACTTAACCACTTTAAGCCTCAGTTACCTCATTAGTAAAATGGGGATAATAATAGCATCCACCTCAGAAGGCTCCTGTGAGAATGCAAAGTGTTTGAGCTGCGCTGATACATAGTAAACATTCAATATACAATGTGCTCGTATTGCTGTTATTTCATCTGCTAACCTTGTACTTACCTGAAATTTTTTCCCAGCTGGCAGTTGGCTTAAAAGCCTCTGAGGCTACCATAGACCCAGGGCAGGATGCTTTTCCAGGGGTGGATCCTTGCAAAGAGCTAGCAGATCCCTGACAGGAGCCTCCTCCGGGAAGCAGCAGCACCCCCTTGGGTTATTGGCTCGTGATCTGACAGGTTCTCCCACATCCCTCAACCCTGGGAGCCTTGGAGAAAGGAGAGAGAAAGAAAATGATTACCCTGGGTACACCCAGACTGTCTGGGAGAGAATGATGGTGTTTGGGGGCCTCTGACTGACTTTCTAAGAGTCGCTGTGACCTCAGAGGCCAAGAAAGAACCAGCCACTAGGTAAGAAGTGTGCCTCTCCCTGCAAAAGTTAATACCAAAAGCACTTGCCCGAGATCTTAGATGAAGCAAAATTATTCAGGTACGCAACTATTAGCATCTATTAAATCTCGGACACAGTGTGCTAACTGGTTCACACACAGTTATGTGAGCCATCCACACATCTCCCGCTCTTAGAGTGGGTCTGCATCTGGTGATGGGGGGATAGAATTGCTATACCCAGACCCCCACTCCCAGTACCAATTCTCTTATTAATTCTAGCTCTGTTTATCTCTAATCCCAATGCTGTCTCCTATCTGCCGTGCCCTACTCCGCGTAGGGTTAGCTAGGAGCAAGAAACACACCAAAAGGACCACATGTGAACGCAGGTTTTTATTTCACAGCCACCTAGGGCTAGAGGAGAGGCTGTCCAATGTGGCATTGGCAGCCCAGCCTGCACGCTCAGACCTCCCGCCTACAGCACCATCAAGAGCATACATGCCCCTGGGGAGATGCTCCAAAGGAGAAAACGGACTTCATCTAAGGAAGAACACGTGCCCCTCTTTTGCATGTCCT